TTGGCACTACAGGCAGTCCCCGGGTTACGTACAAGATAGGGATTGTAGGTTTGTTCTTAAGTTGAATTTGTATGTAAGTCGGAACTGGTACATATTGTAGGGGAAACTCTAGCCAAACATTTTTTTTAGTTTTGGATAGCATAGGGAAAGGTTAACTCCCCTCTAATGTTTGTTTTGCTGTCTGTTCCCCTGTTCAGAAGATTTCACATCTATTTCTGTCCCTGTGACAAACTCAGGACTAAAGGAGTAACTCATCAAATACCAAACAGCTCTGCACCATGCTTTGAGCTAATAGCTTTATTTCCACACACCACCCAGGGTTCTAGGAGGAGGGTCCTTTTTTTGCTAACACAATGAGGCCAGCACTTTGTTTGTTTTGGTGGAGTCTTTGTTTGCCCAGGGAGCCCAGCATGTATAGGGGGAGGAGGGGCGGAGAGGCTGCTTTTGTCGTCTGTTCCGCAGCCTGTTGCTCAGGGGAGGGGGCAGCCTGTTGCTGGCAGGGAGGTGGGGGGGGGCAGCGGGCGTGGGGAGGCACTTTTCCTCTGGCCGGCAGCTCTGCGGGACCCCAGTCGGAGCCGGCCCGAGGAGGAGGAGGATCCTAGGACCCAGGTGAGCGAGCCCCGGGAATGCTGCTGCTCATGTGCGGGAGTTGCCTCACCCCGTTCGTATCTAGGGATCCGACTTAAGTCGGATCCACTTAAGTCGGATCCACGTAAGTCGGGGACTGCCTGTATAGCTGGAAGCTGAATGGCTCACTTGTGGGCTAAAAGTATTAGAATTCTAAAAATGTTTAATGCTTAAAAAACTACTGAATGTTTGAGAGTTGCTGCATATATTATTTTTTCTTGTAGTATTTATGTTCTATATTGTAATGTAATATGTGAGTGGTTGCACTGTGAGACTCTGGGCCTGAGTGACTCACTATAAAGGAAAGGGACATTAATGAGTGCAGAAAACTGCTGTTTTACAGAAGCTTGTTATGCTACTTCTGAAAGAGGCATCCCACCCCGCCAGAGGGGCTCTGGTTGAATCTTCCAATTGCACTGAGAAACTGTCAACAAATGAAATGAACACTCTTATTTTTGTTTTGCACCCCTGAGACTGAGCGTCATCCAAATGGATTCCTGTGATCAATGGAGTTTGCAGCTCAGAGCAGGAGGCAGGAGAGGAATAAATTCCCCAAACCAAGCGAACAGGCATCTCTATACTGCTTAGAATCGGTGGGAGGAGAGAGGTGTTTCTAGGCATAAACAATAGATCCCCAGCTCCTTAGCATATTTGTAATTATTATTCATTATTATTATTAGCCTATCATTTGAAACATAAGACTGTAACTTATTTGTATGCCTGTGTCTGCTTAGTTTACTATAGGGTTGACTACAAGCAGTGTCATTGGTGTGAAACTTGCATCCCATCCCCCTCACACGTACACCCTGCTGAGACCTTCTATAATAGCCACGTGCTGAGACCCTGCACCCCCAGCCTGCTTCTGTACCCTACCTTGCTCCTGCACCCTGCCTCTCTGCACTCGCCAACATAACTGTACCAAGTGGAAACTCCTCAGCACTTTAAAAGCTTTGGCACAGGCAGTCCCCTTGTGATAGATGGCTTCTTATACTTTGGGTCACAGCAGTATTCACAGTCCTCTTGCTCCCAAATGACCAGTCATTTACTCCAGGTCAGTTGCACTTCAAGTGTATGCAGAACCGCTTGCTCCCCCTGCAAACCTGATCTGGCCTGCAAGGTAGAACTAGAAGGTTCAGGACTTCCTCCTCCCCCTCACAGTGGAAGCCAGTTTAAGGCAGCCATGGACTACATGCTTAGAGGGAGGAAAAAGCTTTGAGAACCATAGCCTTAGAGGGAGGGAAAAGCTAGAAGGTCAATTGATGCCCAACTTTTCCCCAGGGCAGTGAACTAGAGTTATAAACCACTGGTAGGGACGTTAAACAGTTAACCAGTAAGCTTTTGATCACTGAGACAAACCGCTGTGCCAATAAAAAGGAAGGAAGGAGCAAAAATTGTTGTTCATATTAGCAGGGTTGGAGAGGGGAAAAACACATATACGGGTCAGTAATTGATTTATTGGACTCTGAGGACAAAGTCCTTGAGGAGTGTGACAAATTCACATGACGCCTCAAGGAGAAAATACCACACACATTTAAAGCTGGGTGTTAATTTAAGAAGTGTAAAAACCATAACCAAAGAGTGAGCGATTCCTATCGACTGCATCCAGGAGGCCGGTGTGTTTTCCCCAGCAAGCACATAAATGTACTGCATTCATGTGCTCCTGATATAGTAAACTGTTTTTATAGGATTGCTCAGAAGCCACCATTCAGGTTCTAGGCCCAGCTGTACCACACAAAGAAATGGTCTTTGCTCTGAACGGCATAGGTGAATAGCCCTGGCATGAGGCTAGCACGTCCCATGGTCACAAATTCATTAGTTGCATAAGCCTGGCCTAACAGGCTCTTAAGAGTGAGCCTGCATATCAATGGGTGGCACTAGTGAGTTTTAGGTAGGTGTACCTGCACCAGCTTGAATCTACCTAGCACAGCTCAAAATAGCAGTGAAGATTCAGCAGCATGGATGCCAGCTCAGGCTAGCAACACAAGTCCATACACCGTGATCCAGGTGGGCTCCTACAGCCTGAGCTGAAGCCCACCCCATGGCTGCTATTTTTACTGAGCTAACTAGATTACAGCTAGTGCTGATGTGCCTAACTCAGCTGCAATCACACCTCCAGCTGCAGTGCAGACATACCCATAGAAGTGCTCAAGCAAAGTTCATTTTAAAACAGACGTCTGAGAGCCTATCAAATGCACACATTACAGGCAGTCCCCGGGTTACGTACAAGATAGGGACTGTAGGTTTGTTCTTAAGTTGAATCTGTATGTAAGTCGGAACTGGCGTCCAGATTCAGCCGCTGCTGAAACTGACC